GTTTCTTAGTCTATAACCCACCTTGGCTTCGTAGTCGTAAATTGGTGTGAGCTTTTTAGCTCTTCCAACGCTACCTGGGATGTACCAACCCCATTCTGCTGGGTCCATTTCCAGGTCTTTAATGTCCTGGTCCGGCCTAAAGATCCAGATTTCCCCTTGCCCCTGTTCGTAGTTAAGGGTCTTTTTGCGGTTAGTTTTGGGTGAGCAGATTCTGACTTTTCTTAGATCTTTGAGTTCGATTGATAATCTTTGTTTTATTGTCTTTCCGGGTTTTACCCAGGATTTGTGCGTGTCCATTAGCTCAAAGGATTCAAACTCTGCCTTCCCTTCTTCTGTGTCGAGCACTTTAATCAGCTTGTATCCCACGAGTGGGGGGTTTGGTCCCTTTTTTGTAKCCCAGTCCCCTGCTCTCCATTTGGCCTTGGATTTTAAGAGCAGTTCCCATCTCAAAGGGACGCTTTCTAACAGCCTTTCTAAATGTTCTTTTAAGTTGTGGACTCCTTTGAGTTTGGTTCTCAATTCTTGAGCCGTGGACCATCTGTTATTTTCGTTGTTCCATAAGTGTTCCACCTTCCAAACTCCATTCCCCATCCACTTCCTCCAATGTTTACCTTTAGAATTCAGAGTCTAGGGTTTGTGATTTTGGTCTTTTAAGAGAGGGTTTCCGAATAAAGGTTGTCTCAAGACTTCCTCTCTAACTTATGGTGTTCTTATTTTCCGTGGGAAACAGTCTCTCCAGTGTTTTATCAAGGAAGCCCAGTGGTTACTAGGTGGATCTTTTCCTTCCATCTGTCTTCTTCTATCCTTTCGTGCTGGGTTCCATGCAGGGTTGAGTATCCAGTGGCAGCCTTCTATATTCGGGTCCACTTTGAACGGGACTAAATTGCGGATCTGGTGTAGGGCCATGTTGTGCCATGGGAGTTCTCTGTTGAAGAGCAGTTTGATTATCCATTTAAGCTGTAGTGCCTGGAATTGTGAGACTGGGTTCAATAAGCCCAAGCCTCCTTGTGATTTGGGCCTGGTAACATATTT